ATCTCAGAGGAGATACAGCACCATGAGAGATGACCTTGAGAATGCTGGACTGGTGCCAGAATGACCCAGAGCCCAAGGAACAAGAGTGGCATTCTGAGGGTTACAGTAACCACTGCCAGCCTCATGTTCCTGCTTGGGGACAACTGTCAGTAGGAATGAACAGGGGTAGGGTCCTAAGTGAATAAAGATCCAAAATATCTGCTGTAGCCAATGGCTACCAAGTAGATAGTGGCAGAAAACTTACCCTGGGTGGGTAAGCTGAGGGCACTAGGTAGCAGAGACAGAGTGTGGCAGAGGGTGGGGCTGGACAGGAATTCCAGCTGGGAAGTCAGCTTGAGCCTAGACAGGAACTTCACTGAGGAAAAGAGGAGGGTTGGGCTGTAGGGGGCATTCAGGACACCAGGGGGCGATCAGAACACAAGGTGTAATACAGGGCACCAAGGTTTGTTTGTTTGTTTGTTTCAGGAGACCAGGAGCATCAATGCAACTATGTGGAGGAGTCCAGCTGAGAAGCTGGCTCATAGAAGTTGCAGAAGAGCTTTTTTTTGGGGGGGGGTCATTGGTTTCCTATCATTTTATTGTCGTCTGGGGCAATTCCTAGTTCCTTTTATGTGTCCTGTAATTTCCTTACATTCTCTGCTGCAAAAAATTCAGAAGGAAATGGGTTGCAGCTATGGTTCCTTGCTCATCTGGGTCCTCATTGTCACCCTATCCCTGTATGGCCTGCTGTTCCTGGCTCATGAACAAAACATATTAGGGATTCTCACTGTCCCTGAATGAGATTGATCCCTCCACACTCCAGTGCAGTGCTGAGCTAACAGTTCTGAGTCCATGTGATGAGTCACACTGTCCTCCTCACACAGCACAGACCATCCTACGTGAGGATGATCAGCCTGATCCTCTCTGCCCCTTGAGGATCCCTGACCTTTTTGGGGGCAATGAGCCACTTGCCTCTCCCCCGATGGCTGAGTATTGAGGTTCAGGTTTCAAACCCTTCTGTTACACCCATCAGTGTCCTGGATGGAGAAGCACTGAGTCTGGTGACAAAAAAGTTCTCAGTGTGTCCCCAAGATAGAGGCAGGAGGCCAGCACAGAGATCCAGCCCTGTCACAGGGCTACTGGGCAGCAATCTTAACAGGTCCCTGAACACAGTCCCGAGGGAGAGCTCTATGATATGCTCAGTTAATGTGCAAAACCCATGTGGAGCATGAGACCAACTGAACATGGAGCTAATCCCTGCCCACATTCTGCTATTCATCCAGGACCCTGGGTACTCACCCCAACATCACCCTCTGCCTTCTATTCTCCACTCTCACTAAATCTATCCCAGGCATGATGCTCCACGTAGCTGGGGCCCTGCTGTCTCCTCTGCAGCCCTGGTACATTTTGATTTAAATACACCCCCCTGATCCTCTCTTGTTCATCTTCTGTGACCATACCTCCATGAGAGCCCACAGCCAATTACACTCAGGTGACCTGAAGCTGGCCTTGGCCACCCTCTGAGCTGATGTGTAGCACACACATGTGATTTCAGGTCACACAGAATCTACTGCAAGGAAGACCTGTGTCACCTGATGAGTGATCTCACAGCACCTGAAACAGCTCACACATGTGCTGAGAGCTCCTCCAGGTGGCCCATGAGCTGAAGAACATCATGGTGGACAAATTCATGGCAAGATGGGCTCAGACAGCAATCAGAGAAGGGCTGGATGAGCTGCTCACTGGCAACGTTACTAACGTCCCCCATGACCAGAGGCCACATATAAAGGGAGCTAGCTGTTAATTCTAAAATTGCAGGAACAGGCTTGAAGCAGGGATAATAAAGGAACCCACAGAATAAAAACCACTTAGGATACATTTCATAAGGAGCAGACGAAATGACATAAGTATCGCACCTAAGAAGTTGCCCAGAAGACAAAGAGTGTGAATTGAGTGAATATAAGGCTTACAACAAACAACTGGAAAGAGTTTATGTCTTTTCTATTTACCACTCTCTGGAAGTATCAATTAAATTTATTGTACAATTACAGCATCAAAACACACACACACACACACACACACACACACACACACACAACTGCAAATATCACTCCCACTAGATTTGCTCATTCTAGTGTTTGGTCTCACCAATCAACTCTAACTTATGCTACTACTTTTATAACATGCTGTGATGTCAAATTCAACCGATGTTCTCTTTTGTCTCATTCCATATCGCGTCTTCCTTTTCTTTGTCCTCCCTGGTCACATTCACATTTTTAAAATGATTTCTTGGGTTTGGTTCTTCAGGCATCTCTACTTTACATTTCCATCACACAATTTATTGTTTGTGCCAAGCTCATGTGATACATTACTACCCATTGAGAAGATGGACCACAGCTTATTATCCTGAAACACATATGGGCTCTTTCCAAATTTTGGCAAGTATGAATGAATCTGCAGGTTTCTATGTGGATATAATTGTTATTCTCTTTTTGGTAAATACTAAGGAGTATGACTGTTGGATCCTGTGGTGAGAGTATCTTCAGTTCTATCAGAAACCACTGCACTGTCAGCCAACATGGTGGCGACACTGTGCACTCCCATCCATGATGTCTGAGCATAGAAGCTGCTAGCTATCTCGTGCACCCCAAGTCTTACCATAAAGAATGTAGGTCTCTACTCTACGTCCTGTTGTCCCCTGTGCCTACTCTATTTCAACATCATGTAATCTTAGTTACTGTAGGTTTTGGTGAATCTTTGTCCCCAAAAGAGACAAAGATTTGGTGCATCACTGTAAATGTGCTCTTCCACATGTTTTACTGTTCCAGATTTTTTGTATTTTCACAAAAATCTTAGAAGCAGATTGTTTATATCAAAAACCTGTTGGGGTTTTAACTGAGATTGAATTGAAACTGTAAGTGTTATTGAGGGACAACTGGCATCTTAACTATATTGAATTTCCTATTCACAATCACAGTGTATGGTCTATTTCTGCCTTTATCATATTCTCTGAGCATCGTTTATAACTGTTAGTGGATAGATCTTGTGCATCAAATTTCGGATTTATCCCAAGGTGTTTCCTCTTTGTTTTTATATTTGCAATTGTTTTTTCATATCAAAATTGAATTTCCTGTTGTTTTGTGCTTGTATACTAGTTAGAAGGGGACTAGCAAGAGCAAGTCCCCTTCATCTCAGCAGAGCCTGTCCTCTGCAAATCATCCTGGACCTTCCTGTGGGCTCAGAATGTGCAACAAAGAAAACAGGGTAACTGGGAATGAAGAGCTCACATGGGACAGAGTATCCTCTTACTGGGCCTCAGTGAGACCTTAGAATGAGTTAGGAAAAACCCTCACACAGGCTTGGATGAGAACATTGGATCTTCCATTTTGAGGCAAAGCTTCCTGCAGTGCAGGTGGCACCTCTGTGCTCAGCCCCATTGGATATCATCGTCCCACCACACATGGTGGGGAAGGTGGGGTTTGTTACGATCCCCACAAGTATGAGCTCAGAAATTAGAGTTTGATCACACACTCTTTATTATTTGGCCAAGTTTTACCTGCGCAGGGGCCACCTTTCCCTCGAAAGGAAAAAGGTGCGCGCTGTAAGGGGACACGGGTTTTTATAAGCAGAGCAAGCAAGCAAGATACAAGGGCAAGAAGTGGCAGTTAGCAATAGGCAGCTTCTTTCTTTTTTTTTTTTTTTTTTTTTTTTTTGCTGATTAGGTTCAAGGCTGTTACTGGGCCCCCTACTCTTTCTCTGGTCAGGATGTTTGTCTGAGGCAAGGCTCAACCCTCGCCCTATGCCTCCTCCTCATTCTTGTCGACTCTGGCCCAGCTGCATGGGGGCTGCACCCTGATATGTTTTTCTTGGTATTTGTTTCTCCCTTATCCTCAGCTCTGACCCTGCTTTTTTTGGGGGGGCTATTTGTCTGAGTCAAGGCTCAGCCATTGTCCTATCTTGTTACTAAGGGGGGGGCTCTAATTCTTCCCTTCATCTTGGGGTATTGTTTGTTCTAGTTTCTTGTTTCGGCCCAGGCTTGACCTAGTGTTAAAGTTTGGCCCCTTAATTCCCCCCTTTTTCTTGTTCATCCTTTGTCAAACCCTTGACTCAGTGTCTTCTGTGGTTAGTAGAGTATAGGGCTGGGACAGTACCATCAGTTTCACAACCTCTATACGGTCCCGCACAAATGCTATGAGCTTATTCAATATTATTGGGCCAAACAATAGGATTAGCAGGAGGATTAGGACTGGCCCAGCTAAGGCCGACACTAGGGTAGTCAGCCAGGGTGAAGCTTTAAACATGGAGGCTTACCAGGAGGAATCACCTTCCTCACTATCCCTTTCTTTTAACCTATGAGTCAAAATTTTGATGTTTTCCCTTATCACTCCCGAGTGGTTGGCATAAAAGCAGCATTCTTCTCCTAAAGCAGCACAAAGCCCTCCCTGCTTCAAAAACAGAAGATCTAATCCTCGCCTATTTTGGAGGGCTACTTCTGCTAGCGAGTCTACTTGCTTCTCTAGATATATTACCTGCTCTTGTCGTAGGGACACATCCTTAGAGAAAGTTTGTGACAGCTGTCATAGACTCATTTCTCCCTGCACAAGGGCACCTGCCCCTAGGGCAGCAGAGCCTACTATTCCGATTGTAGCTACGATGGGGACAAGCAGGGGGACCCTCTTAACTCGAGGGGAGGGTTGTGGCAGGAAGTTAGAATCTCCCCCATATAGATAAACTTGGGGAATGATATAGGCACTAACACAAATATCAGGGTCTATGGGGGCTATGCATTTCATGACTCCTCTTGTACAAGCAAACCATAGCCCTTCCTGAGCCTTTAGAATCTCAGGTTCCTCCTCTTGTATGGGGGTCTGCTTCTGCATATATATATAGCTGGTACAATAATTAAACTATCCTCTCGCCCCATGTTTGGTTCTTGGCAAGTACAGTTCCATCCCTCGTTCTTATTAACACCCATTCCTGGAGTTCATACCCGCTCGTTTCCCAATTTAATCCAATCAATATTAAGAGCGGGTAAAAGAGAGCCGGAGAGGCTTTCCTGGGTCCTGTCGAACTCTCCATGGTTTTTCTTCACTGGGGTCCTGAGCTGGCTTAACGTGGGAGAGGTGTATCCAGTAGGGTTTCTCAGCCACCCGAACGGCAGTCGGGGTGCTTATCAGTACCTGGAATGGCCCGATCCACCTGGGTTCAAGGCTTCCTCGCCGGCGGTTCAGGATCCATACCCATTGACCGGGGTTCAGTGTCCTTAGTTCGCCAGCACCGCCTCTTTCATTTGCCTCCTTTTCCTCCCTTCGTAGGCTCCGGACTTCCTCTCTGAGGGCCTGCAGTGCCTGTAAGGACTTTAGAAAGTTATGATTAGAGGCCTCCATCTCCTCTCTAGTCAGCTTGGGCACTAGTGGCACAGGCTGCCCGTACATGATTTCATAAGGCGTCCACCCTCCTGTGTACGGGGTACATCGAGCCCTAAATAAGGTGAAGGGGAGCAATTCTACCCAGTTCTCCCCGAGCTCCTCCATTAATTTAATTAATGTTTCCTTCAAGGTCCGATTCATTCTCTCTACCTGCCCTGAGCTTTGGGGTCTATACACACAGTGCAATTTCCAGGTTATGCCCAGTCTCCCAGCTAGGTTTTGGGATATTTGGGATACAAAGGCAGGCCCGTTATCTGATCCAATCGCCACAGGAATGCCATATCTGGGAATCATTTCTCGGACTACATGGGTTAGCACTCCCTTGGGCAGGTAAAGCCTGTCATCCGGGAGCACCATCCAACCTCCTTTGTCTACCTTTCCCCCTAGCCTCCTCCCTGTACTTCCTCTCCCTTACTATAGGTAGGCGGGGAAGGTAGCACTGGGGTAGGCACCATGGGGAGTACTCCTGCAGCCTCCTCTCCCGCCGCCTCTTTGGCCGCCAGGTCAGCCAGGGCGTTACCCCTCGCCACGGGGTCACTTCCTCTCTGGTGCCCTCGGCAGTGAATGATGGCTACCTTCTTGGGCATCCACAGTGCATCCAGCAGCTCTAGGATTTCCTGGCGATTCTTGATTTCCTTACCTCCAGCCGTCAGTAGCCCGCGCTCCCGGTAGATGGCCCCATGCACATGGGCTGTTGCAAAAGCATACCTGCTGTCCGTGTAAATGTTGACCGTCCTTCCCTCGGCCATCCGGAGGGCTTGGGTGAGTGCGACCAACTCTGCTCTCTGGGCCGATGTCCCCTTGGGCAGAGCTTGTTTCCACACTACTTCATCCGCCGTCGTCACTGCCGCTCCAGCATACCTGTGTCCATTACTTACAAAACTGCTCCCATCCGTGAACCAAGTCAGATCAGCACCTTCATAGGCCTGGTCCCGCAGGTCAGGCCGTGCTCTGGCTACCGTTTCCAGGACATGGGAGCAGCAATGAGTCACTCCCAATTCGGGGACTGGTAGCAAGGTGGCCGGGTTCAGGGCAGTCGTCTTAAGGAATCTGACAGCCAGGGGGTTCAGGAGCTGTGCCTGATATTGGGTCAGTCGTGCGTTGGTCAACCAACGACCAGGCGGTGCATGGAGTACTTGCTCGACATAGTGTTCCCCGACTGCTTGGATGTCTTGCCCCAAGGTTAGCTTACTCGCCTCCTTCACCAGGACTGAGGTAGCCGCTATGGCCCTCAGGCAGGCTGGCCATCCTGATGCCACCGGGTCTAATTTCTTTGACAGGTAGGCCACTGGTCTTTTCCAAGGGCCCAGGGTTTGGCTCAACACTCCTAAGGCCATTCCTTGTTTTTCTGCCACATAGAGGAGGAACGGTTTGGCTGGATCGGGCAAGGCCAATGCCGGGGCCGAGACAAGAGCTTCCTTCAGGGCCCGAAATGCCTCCCGCCCCTCCTCAGTCCAGGCAAACTCAGTCTCTTTCCCCTTTGTCATGTTGTAGAGGGGCTGTGCAAGCCTGGCGTACCCCAGGATCCAGAGCCTACAGTATCCCATGGCTCCTAGAAATTCTCTCACCTGCCGTTTGGTGATTGGCTCTGGTATCCCTAGGATAGTCTGGACCCTTAGCTCAGATAAGGTTCTTAATCCTCCGCTCAGGTCATACCCGAGGTAGCTTACCTTGGTAGACACGATTTGTGCCTTCTTGGCTGAGACCCTGTATCCCAGCCTCTAGAGTTCCCTCAACAAGTCCTCTGTTGCTTGTTCGCAATCACTGGCGTGGGACACAGCCACGAGAAGGTCGTCTACGTACTGTAGGAGTACTACCTCGGGGTGTTTTCTCCTGTACTCTTGTAGATCCTGGCTGAGAGCCTCGTTAAAAATAGTAGGGGAATTTTTAAAGCCCTGGGGCAGCCTTGTCCAGGTGTACTGACCTCCCAGGCCATGCTCAGGGTCATTCCATTCAAAGGCAAAAATTTCCTGGCTCTGGGGTGCCAGTGGGATGGAAAAGAATGCATCCTTTAAGTCTAAGACCGAGTAATACTTGTGGGTGGGAGACAAAGCACTCAAAAGCGTATAAGGATTTGGCACTGTGGGATGTATTGTCTCTACCCGGGCATTCATTTCCCTTAAGTCTTGTACAGGGCGGAAATCAGATGTCCCAGGTTTCTGCACAGGCAGCAGGGGAGTATTCCAGGGGGACTGGCACTTCTTCAGAATTCCAGCGGCCAGTGACCGCAGCAAGTGCTTAGCTCTCCCCTCCTTGGCTCTGGCAGGAATCGGATACTGCCTGATTCGCACTGGGGTGGCTGTACTCAATAACTGGACTACCACTGGCGCCTGATGTACTGCCAGTCCTGGGGGGTTGGTCTCTGCCCATACCCCAGGTATCTTTTCCCAGAGTGCCTGGGGAACTCCAGTGGAATGAGGCTCGGCCTCACTCACAGCTAGCAAGTACTCTTCCGACAGGGGAACAGTAACTTCTAAGCTGGGGTTCCCCTTCTCTTCCTCGGGTGTCTTGAACACTATGGAGGCTTGCAACTTTTGAAGTAAGTCCCTTCCTAGCAGAGGGTAGGGGCAATCCGGTATAATCAGAAAAGAGTGAGTGATTGTCCCTTTTCCAAGGTCCGTAATTCTCGCACTTGTCCAAGGATAAGTCTCTGATTTCCCGGTGGCCCCTACAATTTTGGCTGTCTCCTTTTCTAGTTTTCCTTGGGGCTGCTTCAGGACAGAAAAGGTGGCTCCCGTGTCGACTAGGAAATCAACTGGTCTTCCTTCGACTGTCAAGGTGACCATGGGCTCCCGGGAGCCAATGCTTATGGAGGCCTGGTCCCGTCAGGGTCTGCAGGAGCACCCCAGGGGTCCCCCTTAGCTCCTCTATCCCCTTCCTCTTGGGGCATTCCCTCTTCCAGTGCCCCTTCTCCTTGCAGATGGCGCACTGATCCCTCTTTAGCCGGGCTCCCCTCCTCTCTCTGTTCCCCCTACCGGTGTTCCCTCTGGGTGCACCTCCTTTCCTCTGCGCCTCTATCAAAATTTTTGCTACTTCCCTAGCCTTCCCAACCTCTGGGTCATCCCTGTTGACATATACCTTTTGGGCTATTTCTAGCAGTTTACTGATATTCTCTCCCTCAAATCCCTCTATCTTCTGCAATTTCCTCCTTATGTCCGTGGCTGATTGCGTGACAAAGGCTATGTTTACGAGTCTCCTATTCTCCCTTGCCTCTGGGTCTAATGGGGTATATACCCTATACGCCTCCATTAATCTTTCCAGGAATGCGCCAGGGGTCTCCTCTCGTCCCTGCACTACCTCACTCACCTTCCCAAAATTTGTGGGCTTGCGGGCTGCTGCCCGCAATCCCCTCAGAAGAGCTCGGCGGTACTGCAGAAGTGCCTCCCTTCCCCCTCCAGTGTTCGGATCCCAATCGGGGGGGATGGAGGGGAGTATTTCCTCCAACTCCCTTCTTCCTCTCCCATAACCGCCTTCCCTGCTTCCCTCAGGATCCTTTCCCTTTCCTCCGACGTAAACAGGGTCTGCAATATCTGCTGGCAATCATCCCATGTGGGCTGGTGGGTCCGGAATATAGTTTCCAGTAGGGAAATCAAGCCCTGGGGTTTCTCAGAGAATGGGGGGTTCTGGTGTTTCCAATTGTATAGATCACTCGTGGAAAAGGGGACATAGATTAGCCTAGGAGGCGCCCTAGGGGCATCCGGGGCCATGGGCACCTCTCGGAGCGGTAGCAGGGTCGGCTCTCTAGAGTCCGGAGCGCGCCGGCCTTTCTGTTCCTCACCACTGTAAGAGGTCCCTCCCCGGGTGTGGGGCGGACTAACAATTTCCCCGGATTGCTCGGAGGAATCGGGTGCCGCCTGGGCGGGATACGGCGGTGGGGCGTTAACAGGACCTAAGGGGTCCTCCGGCCGGCCTGGCAGGACTGGATACAGCCGGTTCCCTTCAGGTCCCGATGACGGCTGGGGCTCAGCACTTCCCCCTCTGCTATTTCCTTGGGGGCCTCTCTTCTCGCCCGATCCAGCGGCTAAGCACACCGCTCTACCCCTCCTGTTTGTCCCTGCCTGCCCTTGGCTGCACTTCCGGACGTAGCCCGGTCTATCCGTGGCAATATCCATCCAGACATTGATGTAGATTTGCTGGTCCGGATGAGGCACCACGTAGGTGACTCGTTGGACCGAGAAACAAATTGGCAATTGGAAAGTTCCCTCAGTCGGCCACCCAACATTAAAGGTGGGCCACTCAAGCTGGCAGAACGTTCGGAGGGTCTCCGGGTCGGGAGGACTCCCTCCATAGCGCTTCACCCGCTTTCTGAAATCAGAGAAGTTTTTCAAGATGCAATCCAAAGGTGAACCCTCGACCGCTCCCGTGGATCCCCCTTGTCCCATGTCTTTACGTATTTTGGGTCCAAAGATCGTGACTTATGAGACCGAGGAGGGTCAAGATTAAACACGCGGCCAGGCTCCACACCACTCTCTCACTTACGCCGTTCACTCTTCGGCCGGCCTCACACACGCACATTTAGGAGACGACTCAGACAGACAGGAACGATTAAAGCACTTTCACTTTCGCCCGCCTGGCCTCTCCTCTCGCGAGGGACTTGGGTCTGTCTTAGCTAAGGCTGCCCGAGTAGAATCCGGGTTACCTCCCAGCCGTTATGCCATATGACAGACCGAGGAACCGCAGGTTGGGGTCCACTCAGACTCCGTAGGCTCGCTGTCCCGTGGAGTCACACAGACAGGCACTTGCTCACTCACACGGCACTTTCGCATGCGCTCCCGTACCCGTTTCTCCCCGCGCTGCGCACCAAAACCGACCTCAGGCGACCCTGTCGCGACTCCCGAGGGCGTCCCCTCCTTGGGAGCCCCCTGGGTGGACTGCCGGTGACGTCTCACCTACCACCTCAGGGCTGCAAAGGCTAGCCTTTCCTTCCCCTTAAGAGAATTCTCGGTTTAACTCACCCAACTCGAGCTGGTCCCTTTAATTCCCGTCCTTTTACCCCATAAAAGGAGGAATCTCGCTGGGGCCTCCAAATGTTATGATCCCCACAAGTATGAGCTCAGAAATTAGAGTTTGATCACACACTCTTTATTATTTGGCCAAGTTTTACCTGCGCAGGGACCACCTTTCCCTCGAAAGGAAAAAGGCGCGCGCTGTAAGGGTACACGGGTTTTTATAAGCAGAGCAAGCAAGCAAGATACAAGGGCGAGAAGTGGCAGTTAGCAATAGGCAGCTTCTTTCTTTCTTTTTTTTTTTTTTTTGCTGATTAGGTTCAAGGCTGTTACCGGGCCCCCTACTCTTTCTCTGGTCAGGATGTTTGTCTGAGGCAAGGCTCAACCCTCGCCCTATGCCTCCTCCTCATTCTTGTCGACTCTGGCCCAGCTGCATGGGGGCTGCACCCTGATATGTTTTTCTTGGTATTTGTTTCTCCCTTATCCTCAGCTCTGACCCTGCTTTTTTTGGGGGGGCTATTTGTCTGAGTCAAGGCTCAGCCGTTGTCCTATCTTGTTACTAAGGGGGGGGGCTCTAATTCTTCCCTTCATCTTGGGGTATTGTTTGTTCTAGTTTCTTGTTTCGGCCCAGGCTTGACCTAGTGTTAAAGTTTGGCCCCTTCAGGGTTCACAGTCTGACCAGTCACCAGTGGTGACATCAGGGACCACCTTCCCACCCACAGCCATTCGCAACTCAGCTGGAAACCCCCAGGCGTGGCTGTGGGGCTTCCATGTGAGGCTCCAGGTGGTGTTGCTCTGTCTGGTCCTGTGGGTTCCACTGGAGGCAGGTCAGGTTCAAGGCCCTGCCTGAAGGCAGAGTTCCCAGAGCTGTTTGCAGGGGGGCCCTGTTGAGAGCGCTCCAGGAACTGAAGGGGCCTGGCCCTGCCATGGGCACACCTGGGGATGCTGCTCTGTCCTCCTCTCTGTGCCACCCTTAGCCCATGTACTGGAGCAGTCTTGAAGACTGCCTCCCCATGGCCTTCCTCTCAGTGACACCCAGTTATGACCAGGGCCCAGCAGTGGACAGTGGTCTCACACCAATTAGCTGACCTGTAGGGTCTCTTGGTTTTGCAGAGAAGTGGTGATGTGCCCTGCCCATGACATGTATGCATCTGACTGAGGAAATGTATGCATGTACTCAAGCCCACAGAGTAAGGCCACAGGCCCAAGGACATATTGACTGATGATGTGGCCAGCTGGGGGCTGAATCATCAAGAGCCAGAAGAGACAAAGGCCCATGTCATGTGTAGAGTAGTGCCACCAAACAGAAACTCTCCCCTAGGATGCCCTGTGGGCAGGGGTCATGTGTCATGAGTCACCCCTCTCTGCTGAGTAACACCTGGGGTCTTTCTAGGGGGACGAGCTTCCATCCATATAGATCACTAGGTATTGAGTGGTTCTTCCTCCTCAACCTGCAGAGATGCTCCCTCAACACCTTGTGCTAAGTTTCAAGGCACCCTAATCTGTAAGCACAATACAAACCTAGGCCTGTTTCCTTTCCACAAGGGGTGCCTCATACAGAGGAGACTCACTTGCCCCGCTGTCATTTTCAGGCTTGTTGAGCAGCCTGGGGCTGGGGCCCGGGTGATGTGTTTCTGATTCATAAGACCCCAAGAACATGGGGATGGCCGCAGCTGTCTGTTTTGTGTAGAGGAATGGTGGTGTGTACTTGGACTTCTGTGTTGGCTGATGTAATTACTAAATTAAAACCAGTCCATTAATATGAACTTACAGACTCTGGGGCTGATGTAAGATCCACAATGCACCTAGTGAGGGGCCTATCAGTGAGCACTCCTGTCTCTGTCCTCACCTCGGGTACAATTTCAACAAGGAAATGGCTCTGAAGGAATCTGTATGCAAAATATGTACGGTGGTTGTGGTTCAGGAGCTTACGTTCATTCAGAGCTTCATATCAATGAGTCAATACCAGGTGTGGCTACCTGTTTTAATGCAACCACACACTGGGGGCTGCAGAACCTGCTGAGCCCAGCTAATCCAGGGAAATTCTGGTCTCCTTCCTCCTTTTCCTTCATGATCAGGGTCCCCCATGGGGTCAGTGATGGGAGACCTGAAGGTGCACAGCAGTATTCACAGAGATTTACAGTCATTAATCTGGATGCTTTTTATTTTGCCTTCTGCTATCCTGTCCTGGATGAACTGCAGCAGTCATGCTCTAATAGGTGCAACCCTGGCAGATCTGTTCTCCCCCCTGTGCCATCTCAAGGGGCATGTCTCCAGCAACAGTGTTGTTTGGATCTGGCTCAGGCAGCATCCAGAGAGAGGGCTCCCATGGCTGGGAGAGACATGCTCCAGCTCCAAGTGTAAAAACAATTACATCCATCTCTCAAAGATTGATCAGTCATCACCCCAGACACATCCAGGAACAAGTTCTCCCTGCAAATGAGCTCTATGACCACCAAGGACACAGCAGTTTTTTACTGTGCTAGAGGCACAGTGAGGAAGCATCAGAGTGAATCCAGGCAACAAGCCCTCTTCTGAAGGAAAGAGGGATGGGCTGCATAAGCCATCCTGGACAGAAGGGGGCCAGCATGACCCAGTGATCAGGGAACCCACCACAGAGTCCACTGGCCAGGGAGGCTAACCCATGGGTTACATGTAGTCTCGGGTTTCCCCTTCACATGAGACTTGCTCCCTCATCTTCGCCAGGGTCAGGATTGGGACCCCCACAAGACACACAACTCAGCATCAAAGAGTAGCTCACAAGGCTCATATTTCATCAGCTAGCAGAGCTGTGGTCATTCCTGTTGGGGAAGAAAAGCCCGATGATGTGGGTGGTCATTGTCCCATCTCCCTGCACAGAGTACAGGGGGCTGTGGCCCCTGTGCAAACCCAGAGGGGTTCCCACCTCAAACAGCCTCACTTATGAAAACTCACACCAGGGGACCAGGTGGATCTCAGTTCTGACATGTTCGTGGTCTACAGGGCAGCCAGGAAGGCATCTCGAGCAGGGGTGAAATGGCTTATGAGAGCAGGGCCACACACCTGGCACAGGGCTTGTTGTGGTTAGAAGATAAGGGCCAGAGAGATTTTTCATGTTGGGCAGGGTCTTGGGTAGATTGACTGTCCCACCAGAGGTGGAGAACCGATCACCTAGGCTTTCTTATCAGCCTGTCTAGATGAGGACAGACATGGGTAAGGAAGATGAGGTTTCAAACCTCCCAGGTGTCCAGCATCAAAACCTGTGTTTGGACCCCTAAGTCCACCTAACAATTGCAGTTAAAAGAAATGTAGTCATATGTTGGGGTGCACAGCAATCCAGGATTGTGAGCAAGCAAATAAGAACTAACTAGGGATCACACAGGGGTTCTAATGGGACAACGTGAGTGGCAGTTTCCACTCTCTGAGATGCTTCTCATTGCATGAAAGGTGGTGGGTCAGCTGTCTTTTTCCAAAGATTACAGCTTCTGGAGGGTCTGAGAGTCCTGAATTAGACGTTCGACACTGGAGTCATTCTCAAAGGTGTGAGGTTCACATTTGCTCTGTGAGCTGCAAGGTGTGAACCCAGGGACTGCTCTGGAGTCCTCCTGCAGCCTTTGTTGTTTAAACACATGCTAAGGTCTCATAGGTGAGATTCCTCAGCCATTTCCCCTTCCTCATCCAGCAGTTACACACCTAGTGGTAGATCATGAAGACACTACTGAGAATAAAGTGGGGGAAACGGCATCTGTGTCTGGTAAGCAGGTGGGATACATGGGCCATGT